ATCGGGAATTTCGGGAATATTAGGAGCACTCTTGTAGTCTTGTTTGTCGGCACGCACCACGGCGGAACCTCCGAAATTCCCCTACTTAACGGGGAACGAACGTATTTGAGAGTGGGACCTCGACCAGGCCCTGGGGCGCATCCCCCATCTCCCCAACTATTATAGCCCATACACGTGTCACGTCATCACGGATCCCGGGATTATTATCTCAGGGACCGAATTCCCTCCCTATCACCACATCCTACCCTATCACTTCCTGACCATCGTCCCTTGGCTCGCAATCGCTCCCTACTGGCCCCAACCCCCATGCTCGGAGTGTCTGCGGGACCACAAGTACCGAGCCTCTGGCTTCATCCGGGGAACTCGCTCGGAGAAAGAACAACGAGCGCACAACCTTCGATTGAGGCCAGCCGTGTCGGACTTGGAAACTTGCGACGTTCGACGTCGGCAGGTGAGGCAGCGGGATAGTCAAAGAGTCCCGATGGTGCACCAGATACGACCCCAACCCGGGCGGCGGAACCAACGGAGGTGGTAGCCCTGTTTCCCGAAGCACAAACCTGCGCCTACTCTCCTGCATTCGTATCCCGGAGCTTGCCACAGGAGATCTCAGTTCCAACCTAGGACTTCATCCCTACTTTCCTAAAATCCTTGGCACACCCCTTTTCGCACTTCCAGGCCCACTCACACTCCAAACAGGAAGTCGCGTCGGGCGTGAGGTTGGACGTCACAGCATGGTCCCTGATGCTACCGACTGTCCTCTAGCCGTTATCGCCCACCTGCTGGTCGGGAGCAGCCCTAGCATGTTCTCTCATGAACACGGTTCTCGCTGCTACAAGGTTCCCCGTATGCCTATAATTAGGAGCAGTGGTAATTGGGTAGTATGAGGCGAAATGGAAAGAAGAATGTCGCTTAAGGATTCAAAAAAAAAAAAATCCTCTTGAAAAAGAAGTGTGTGAGAACTTATTTCCACCCTCATATGTTTGATGATAAGATATTTTTATTTTGTATGGGAGATGTTTCTGGTTCATTGCTTTGAAAGGACTAACACATTGAGTCGACTGTAGGAAGTCGTGCATTAAGGACTGAGCCTTTCGCCTTAGATGCTTGTGTGTGAAAATAACCCTTCACCTACTAAAGCTATCAACTCTCGTGATAACCATAACTGAGCCGACACGAAAGATCCAAGTTCCAGTCTGAAACTTCACGCTTATCTTTCCAAAAATCCTTGGCACACCCCACTCATGCACTTTCTGCCAATAAGCCCTTCGGCATTTTGGTTAATCTCCGATGGAAAGTAGCATAGGGCATGAGGTTGTCCATCACATCCCGCTCCTGCCACATGGCGGAATCACATGCACATAACCTATCGACCACCACGTGTCCAGCACACATCGAACTAAGGGTTTCAGAATGAGCGCCCCCCTCACATCAAAGTAATGCGAACTAGATCAGTTCTAATGGGCCCAAATATGGTCAAATCAAAATAAGAGCAGATCCAATCGCACATAAATCAAGTTGACTCAAAGAGCTGACAACCTAGGAAAGTTTGTATACTGTCTCTAAGCATCCTGAGCTGGAAGGTCGTTTGTCGGACTCGAGCCCCTCCTTGTTGTTGTTGCGGTGCTTGGTGACTATTTTACATTGGTGCCTCTTGGACTTGCCTGGCCAGGTCGATGTGGATTTTTTTTTCTTCTTAGAAAGTCCATGGTGTTGTAGAGGCCAGTCACTGAGTACACAGTGATCACCTGAAGCAATAGGCCGTGGGTGTTCTTGAATATTAGACCACCTCCCATCCCATCCTCATGTCAATACTCCTAGCGCACCCCCTATCCCACTATCCTGCCTCAGTGAGACCAGCACTCAGGACCATTACCTTACCAATGGGCAGGTAACTTGGACCGAATAGTTGTGATCAACTGTTTTCTGCAACCGCGCGGATTTCTGCGCAAGGCTAGTTCGGGGGATGAAATTGGTTGAGTCGGGATGGTCTGGTGAATTGCATGGATGCCCTTGCTTTTCTTATCTCTTTCGAATAAAGACTGGTTTGATCCTACGACGGTTGATAGTTGATCGCGCCACAGCGAGCGCAGCGAATAACTGTTACCATAACTTCTTTCTTGTTCTGCTGTCGCAAATGGGAATTTTCGGCGGGATTGTCGCACGGGAAAATATTTTTGAATTTTCAACTGATGTCGAGCCCCCGCGGGCTCCCGAAATTTGCTTCTTTCGGATTTTCTTTTTTCAATTAGGATTTAGATTAGGAATTTGGGCGCATCTTAATTTTTGTTGTGCGGTGCTTTCTGGTTGCACACGCTCGGCCGCGTCAGGAACTGTGTTCTGACTTTTCTGCGCCTTCATCTCACGTGTAACTGTAATCTTTGTTTTGGCAGGCGTGATTGCAACTGTAATCCTCTCGTTCTTGATATCTTTTGTGGCGCCCTTGCTCGCGCATACCTCTCCCTCATTCTATTGGCGTAAACACTTGCATGACCGGATCGATGTGTGGAGACTGGCTACGTCCCCCACGCTGTGGGCTGGCCATCCAGGCGTAGGCACTCCCTTCCTCCTTCTTCCTCCTACCTAAACACAATCCCGAATATCTCGCGCAGGCATGCATGCTATAAGTTTCGCAAGCGCAATTAATTCGCTCTCTAAGCATTTTTGGGAGGTTAGCGCGGTCGACAGGATCGGTTAATGAGTGAAAGCTGGCAAGTGAGTAGAGAGTTGGGCGATCCGACGAGCTGATGCTGAGCGTGCAGGGTTGACGTGGGACCGCGACGGACTGTGGCACACGGGCAAACCTGGCTGGCATGCTTGGATCAAGTGGGGTGACAACTTTGTCTGGGTGTGAGGCGACAGACTGCCCGCATCGGGGTGATGAGAAGAGAGAGAGAGAGAGAGACGGGAAGTGTGCTATGAGTTTCTTCTTCTATCCCTCTAAGCCATTTTGATTCTTCCTCTTTCCTTCTGAGTAATTTTTTTATTCGGCGCGGGTCGCCTTTCTTTTTTTTTCTGGATCGGCCTTTCGGACTTGTCATTTGCTCTTTTCTATTGACGTGTATATTTTCATTTGCTCTCCTCGGGTGTTGATGAATGGTTGTCTTCCTCCCCTCCTCTTCTCTGTCTTTTGATGGGTCTAATTGATTGATCCCCGACGATTGGCCCTTGGAAGTGTTGCATGAACCTCGATTCAAAACTAGATGCATGGATGATAGGCGTAATCCTGCTTGTGCATGAATTGGAATGGCATAATAGGTTATCGAAAGATTGCCTCATTATAGGATGATCTGTCTTGCGAGCCACTGGCTTCCGCACTCTTATCGAAGGACAGGGCTCGCGTATACGCGTTTAAGTTCAACCAGAGACGATCGCTGCCTACACGGGCATTCGCGAACCCTGAACTCGACTAATTCTCGAATGGCTGACGTTCCACCCTAACCTGCAACAGGAATGTTGACACCCCTGTTTACATCACTGACCGTGAGTGTTTGAGGGATCCGAAATTTCGGGGATATTGGGAGCGCTCTTGCTTGTCTGCACAGCCCAGGGCGGAACCCACGAACTTCCCTTACTTAACGGGGAACGAACGAATCTGCGAGTGGGACCTTGATCAGGCCTTGGGACATATTCCCTATCTCCCCCACTACTCTAACCCCCACACGTGTCACGTTGTCACGAAACCCGGGATCATTATGATAGGGACCGAGTTCCCTCCCTATCACCACATCCTACCCTATCACTCCCTGACCATCGTGCCTTGGCTCGCCATCGCCCCCTACTGGCCCCAGCCCCCATGCTCGGAGTGCCTGCAAGACCACGAGTACCGAGCTTCCGGCTTCATTCGGTGAACCCGCTCGGAGGAGGAACGTCGGGCACACAGCCTTCGGCTGAGACCGGCCTCATCCGACTCTGAGACCTGCGATGTTAGACGTCGACAAGTGGTCAATCAGCGAGATAGCCATAGCGTCTCGACGGTTCATCAAATACGCGTCCGACCCAGACGACGGAACCACTGGAGGCGATAGCCTAGCGTTCCCAGGCCTACAACAGGACTCCGATCCACACCTATCCTCCTCCTGCATTCACATCCCTGAAACCTGTCACAGGAGATCTCAGTTCCGACTTGAAACTCCACCCCCACTTTCCAAAAATCCTTGGCACACCCCTTTCGCACTTCCAGGCCCACCCACACTCCGACCAGGAAGTCGCGTTCGGCGTGAGGTTGGTAGCGGAGCCGACACGTGGCAGGCCCAGAGATTGTCAATCACTGGAAATCAGGTAGGATATAAAGGACGACCTGGCGAACAGGGGGCGTCCTAGGCAGAGGAATGCGCCTCGCTGCAAACCGATAATAACCAGGCAGGTCGGCAGGCCGCCAACATGAATGCCCATCCGACATCAAACATCGGAGGAGCCCCCGCCCCTCGAGCACATGCGCCAACGGCCCCGCCTGATCTATACCTTTTTGACCCGGCTCATCATGTGGCCGGAGCCTGGCTAGCCACGTTGCGTGCACAACAGTACGACAATGACGAGGCCAGGATCAACATCCCTGAGAGGTTGGGAGGGGATGCGCACCACTGGTTTACCACTTACGTATGGGTCGATCTCCCGACCTTCGAAAGAGACTTCCTAAACCGATTTGATTACATCCACCCTGAGCAAGCTTTCTTCATGCTTAAGGATGGAGTCCAGAAACCCCTCGAATCCGTCGCTCAATACCGCAACAGGTTTTGTAGGCTGTTTGTTAAGTCGGAAAGGGGCGAAAATGTCGGGAGGGATTTGTTTATCGATGGGCTCCGAAGTCGAACGATGAGGGTCAAGCTGCGAAAGCAGTTCTTCCCCATCAAACACACCATGCGGCAAATCATGGACGTTGCACAAAAGATGGAGAGAAAGTTCGCTGCTAGCTTCCTAAAAGGGGAGGACCACGCCAAGGAAGGGGACTCTTCAGAATTAGCCAGAGCGAAGGCCGAATTAGTTGCGCTCTAAAACAAATTTGAAAACATGGCCTTTGTCTCCGGCCCCGTCACTTACCAAAGAACGATACTTGACACAGCCACGGGGCTGCCCATGATGGTCGCCCCTACACCTCCCCCACTTGCGCCTCCACCGGAACCTCCTGCGAAACCAAGTGAGCCAAACGCAATACTGAAGCTGACCCGAACGTTAGTTAGCCTGATGCAAGAGAGCAAGAAGGAACAGCGTGAGCACAATGCTCGAATAGAGTCTATAATGAGATCGATGTGCCCTATTGTTGTTCGAGTTGCACCCATGGCACAGGCAGCAGCCCCCGCTCAGGTGGTGGGCGGCACGGTGGCTAATCTAGGCGTCAGCTACACGTGTCACCAGCCTGGTCACCTAGCCAGGGACTGCCCCAACCGACCAGCTCAAGTACAGGTAGGGGTTGCCCCTGTGGCAGCAGCACCAGTAGCCAACAGGCTAGGAAGATTAGGCATGATGATCAAAGAAACGGAGGGAGGGAAAAGCACGATGGTTACCACCGAGGAAGTTGCAGAACCCATCCCGCTCGATCAATACATCTCGTTGGGTTACCTAGGGATGGGAATGATTGGAATCATCCGACCAGCGAACGAACAACGGGAAATAGCGGAATGGAAACCATGCCCCAGAGAAATGGAATCTGGCGAGTCTACCTTCGTTACGGGAGAAATCGATGTCTTGAACATCGTCCGAGCCCTGGATCATCGGATCCCCCTGCCCATCGGATATTTGTTGTCCATATCGGAACAGGCGAATGAACAAATGTTGCAGCATTGGAAGGCAAACCGAAAACGGTTCACCCTTGCTAAGCAATCAGCCACCAAAGGGAAAGCCCCCGCCTGCGAAGACAAACCCGATGTCTCCAGCACCTCGGACCTGATACGGTTAGGACTCATTCGGAAAGATGATCATTTCCGTCGCATTAAGGCATTCCGTGGAAATCCACGGAATGTGACGTGGAAGTTTGGGGAAATCCGTACAACGCTATCGTCGATTCAGGAGCCGCAATCCTAGCCATTTCGTTAAAAGTCGTGGAACGGGCCGGAAGAAGAAGGGATCTGATCCCGTTAGCAGAAAGAGATCACCTTGTCTCGGCCGACGAAGAAAAGATCAAAGTGGTAGGAAGAACTCCGAAGAAGGACGAATGTTGCGTGCGTTGGGAAATGTCGTGGTATTAGATGTGAATACCTACAACGTCCTCCTAAGATTACCAACCCTTACCGCATTAAGAGTCAATCTCGACTTCGAGAGACGATCTATCATTCTTAGGAATACGGGCGGGAAGCCATGCGTCATCCCGATGCGGTTAACTCTCCGGACCACACTCCGTACGACCCGGAAGACTTCCCCCGGAAGTACAGAACCACTTTGCGGAATCACTTGGAGGGAACCCCTCGAGGAAAGGGACACAAGGGAAAAAGGACCGGAGTTGTCACGTAGCTCCTCTGAAGGCGAGAATGAAACCGACCCCGAGATTTGGGATATGGTACACCAACTGATTCATTACCTCGTGCAGTAGAAAACATCGAAAACATTCGTCCTTACGGAACGGAACCTCCAGCGGGCGCGAGCCTTAGTCATAAGGGAACCGCTCATCCAAGTGTCCCAAATGGCCGATTCTTTGGAACCCCTTCGGACCCTATACGAAGCCACCACCCCGCTTCTCTCGAGATACAGCGATAAGAAAGCGTTTTGCGACATTTCGGGACTACCTCGTTCTCTGCTCTCCACAGGGAAAGAGGTCCGACTGCTGCGACAGGGTGTCGAGGACGGAGGGACGTGATCACTCCTAAAGAACCTAATACAAGTCCAAGAGAATTATTTAGGGTGTCATATAAGCCATTATGACCACGTCCAAGTCTTCCTCCAGGAGGTGTATGAGCTTCTAATATTCCTTTTATACTATGGCCAATCCCAAAGTTTGTACGGTACGTATGACCTGCAACAATAAATGAAATAGCAATAGCAAGATGGTGATGAGCTATGTCTGTAAGCCACAAACTTTGAGTTTGTGGATGGAAGCCTCCCAAGAAGGTAAGTGTAGCAGTGTCTGCACCTTCAGAAGTCCCAAATAAATGGTTCATTGAATCTGGTTCTTGTGCATAGATACTCCAATTTCCCGTAAAAAAAGGTTKTAATCCTTGAGGATGCGGAATAAAAGTTAAAAAATTGCCCCATCTTATATGTTGTCCTCTGACTTCTAGAATAGCTACATGAACCAAATGTCCCCCCTGGGCGTGGCAACCCATACGAACTCGGAATCAGGATTGCGGAAAAGTCAGTAAGTTTGCAGAATATCAACCACGGAGTAACACCAGAAGAGCACGTGGCAATTCGGGAAGCAGACGCCCAGATGGTCGCCACAGTGTTCTCCTGGCGGTCGGACAAGTCGTTCATTTCAGCTCCTCCGCCAGGAAACGGCAAGAAAGTGGGCACGAAACAAGTGACGGTTAGCATACGCGGACAACTATGTATCCCCTCGGCCGCGGCCGAGTTCGGGCATGGCCGCGACCGCCGACCGTGGTCGGGACCCCTCTGGTCATGGCCGCTCCAGTCACGAACTTTCAGTCGAGGCCGCGGTCGATCGGGGAGGGGGTTTGGGGGGCGGGGAGTGGGTTTTGAGTCGGGGGGGGCTCCCCTACCCCCTCACAAAAAAATATATATAAAAACTTCAAAAACAGGGGGGGCGGAATCCGGGTTTTTTTGTAGGGGGGGCAGATAATTTTGGGGCCGAAAAAAAAACGATTTTTTTCAGTTTTTAAACCTTTTTTTTTTTTTTTTTTTTTTTTTTTT